TCTCGGGGATTATTCGACGATATTCACCTCGCCTTCGGCGAATAATTGTTAATCATAATCTGATGCCAAACGGTGGCATATGAAATCCGATTAAACAAAAAAACATTAATAACAACTCGACTCTCGGTCGTTTGGGTTTCACCGGCTCAGGGAAATTCTTAAATGAACTGTTGCTTTAATTATTTTGATAAAAAACTGTAGGCCTAACCAAAGGAGGAGACATGTCTAGAAACTGTCTCCATGTCGCTCAGTAAAATATCAAGAGCCAGTAGTGGCCAAAATGCCCAAACGGCCATTAGTGGCCAAAATTCCCAAACGGCCATTAGTGGCCAAAATGGCCAAAATGCCCAAATGGCCACTAGTGGCGAAAATGCGCAAATGGCCACAAGTGGGGAAAACGCCGGGACTGCCAGTAATGGTCAAAATGCCCCAACGGCCATCAGTGGCGAAAATGCCAAACACCCAGCAGTGGCCAAAATGTCCGAACGGCCACTAGTGGCCAAAATGCTAAAACGGCCACTAGTGGCCAAAATGCCAAAACTGCCACTAGTGGGCAAAACGCCAAAACTGCCACTGGTGGCCAAAATGCCAAACAGTCACCAGTGGCCAAAATGCCCAAACAGCCATTATTGGCCAAAATGCGCAAGCTGCCACTAGTGGCTAAAATGCCCAAACGGCTACTAGTGGGAATAACGTCAAAACGGCCAAAATGCCAAAAAGGCCACTGTTGGCAAAATTTCCCACTAGTGGCGAAAATGAGCAAATGGCCAAAAGTGGGGAAAACGCCAAAACTGCCAGTAGTGGTCAAAATTCCCGAACGGCCAGTAGTGGCGAAAATGCCAAAACAGCAATTAGTGGCCAAAATGCCCTAACGGCCATGGCCAGTAGTGGCCAAAATGCCTAAACGGCCATTAGTGGGCAAAACGCCAAAACTGCCGCTAGTGGGGAAAACGCAAAAACTGCCACTAGTGGCCAAAATGCCAAAACAGCCACTATTGGCCAAAATGCGCAAACGGCCATTAGAGATATTATGCTTTTAGTGGGCAAAACGCCAAAACTGCCACTAGTGGCGAAAATGCCCAAACGGCTACAATGAGAAAAACGTCAAAAACGGCCAAAATGCCGAAACGGTTAGTAGTGACGAAAATGCCGAAAGAGCCAGTAGTAGCGAAAATACCCAAACGGCCACTAGTGGCCAAAATGCAGAAACATCCACTAGTGGGCAAAACTGCCACTGGTGGCTAAAATTCTTAAACGGCCACCAGTGGTCAAAATGCCAAAACAGGCACTAGTGGCCAAATGTTAAAACAGCTAGTAGTGACTAAAATGTCCAAACGGGAACTAGTGGCCAAAATGCCCTAACGGCCATCAGTGGGCAAAATGACAAAACTTCCCAAACGACCAGTCTTTTTTCACTTGGACTTTTTAGCGGGATGTGTGTGGTCATAAATTTGAGCGGGAAAAGCGAGGTTAGAAAAATATTAACTGTCTGTGGGTTTAAATTGAGGGGGAAGATTTTGATTCTATACAAACTTTTGAATTTAGAGGGCCGTTTAGTGCACTAGAGTAATGATAGCGCACATTTTTAACGAGAGATATTATGCTTTTAATTTATTAAAAAGAACGGTGGTATAAGGGAAATGACCATGAAAAATGGTCTAAAACGTTGCAAACATCAAGGGTTAAAAGGGCTTGTAATAAAACTTCCAAAAGAGCATATTAGCTTGCTCTTGTTGGGCCGAGCTGTTTTCCACAAAAATATAATTCAAAATATACATAAATCAAGTCTGATCACAAAAATAGAAAATTGTCTATATTTAATTTTTCCACCAAAAAATTTATTGTCAAAAATTTAATTGTTCCTCGTCTTGACTTCCTGGTCTCTCTCGAGGCCCTTCCACTTCCTCCTCGTCCCATAACTTTTTCCACCAGGGTAGCTTGAGTCTGTGCATTTCCTCGTTGTGACACTGCTGTGCCCTAGCTATCACGGGCGCTGATCTTGAAGCAAAGGAGTCAAGAATGTCGGGACTAACCTCATGAAGCTTTGGGGCCGCTATCAAAATAATATAATGCAGTAAATGGTTTGAACCCGGGGGTAACATGTGAAAGTGTAGTAACTCTTGACTCTGATGATGACTTCCGCACAGGTTGTTGAAACGTCAGTTACTACCACCGACAACAGTCCTTCCCAGGTCTACACTCACCCGCACGATCACACTACCCTTTCACAAAATAATATTATTAATTTAAAGAAACAATTTACAACAAGCTGGAACAGAAAAGTCGCTTTCAACTGATTCACAGTTGCTAATTTGAAAGTATTCCTTTACAGACAAATCCATAGTTTAGAGTAACTGATTTCTGAAGACTTCTTTTTTCACGATGTTTCGCTCGGCTTTCTCTGAATCGCAGAAAAAGAAAGAGAAAAACAAAAAGAGAGGAGCATTTAGTGTTCAGTGCCCAGTTTACCTAACAGCTGATCTGCGTCCACGTTTAGCCTGGCCAGCAACGCTTCCCTTCTCTGTTCACTCTTTCTTATCTTCATGTTAGACAACACGTGATTGGCAAGAAGTGAAAACGCCTAAATGAAAACAAGTACAAAAATGTTAACCTGGATGTTTCTTCTCCTATTAAGAATTCCATGTTCTTAATTAAAACCTGAAAACAAGCACTCGAGGCGAAAATTCCCATGTATTAACCAACTCTAGTCCGCAAGAGGCAACTATAATACAACCTTGTAGCTTGACCTCACAATTCATACACCCTACCCCTGAAGGGTCATTAAAAAAAAAAAAAAAAAAAAAAAAAAAAAAAAAAAAAAAAAAAAAAAAAAAAACGCGTCTACTCCTCCCATATTTCAAAACATATTCTGTAAAACAAACTTCTGTGCAACAATCTTCACTTCAGGAAACTTGAAACAATTGAAAATAATTCAAGTGCGGCTGCGCGGTTTGACAGCTTTACCCTTTGCAAAGAATGTAAAAAGTAGCACTCTTCTGTAACAAGTATTAAAAGATTACCAAAGAAAAATACTAGTAGAAATAAGTCAGTTAACCCATCTGGTACCTTTTCGTGAAGCTCTTTAAATTCCTCTTGGGTTCGGTGCTTCGCCTTACAGAGGCAAACAAACAAACAAACAAACAAGCAAACAAAAATACCCGTAAACATCACCGGGCTTTTAAACACGTCGGGGGCACTTCGCGTAATTAAAATTACTTTGAATGTTGCAGAAATCTACATTAAATCAAATAGCATGAAATCTTCAAACAATCCCTCTACAGTGCAGAAAGTAACAAACCAAAGCATGAAAATTCAGTTCTGATTGGCCGAGGGTGGCCGATATTAACAAGGATCACAAGTGACGAACTTAAAAGGTGATGACTAACGAAACTAAATGTTACAAAACTTACAGGGAACCTCTGTCGACGTTCGGCGATCATGTTCTGGAGTTCGGCGCGTCTTGCGTCGGTCAAACCAGGCACAACAGGATATGGAGTTTTACGATCTGCTTTATGCTGTTGATATCGGCGAAACTACAATAAAGAGTAGAACAATTTATTATCAAAGGAATATTAAGCTCCAGAAAACCATATAATTTTCATTCTTACCATAAAATGAAGAAGAAATAATAGGCCATTTTCGATATATCAAAATGCAAACTTGGCTCCAAGGCTTGGGGAATAAAACAGAAGAAATCACATCGAGGTCGAGGGATGAAAAATTCATTTATTTTATTCCCCTAAACCTCGCAGCTATGTTAGAATTTTCATATATCGATAATAGCCTATCTCAGAGGCCACCTCATCGGATTACAAAGAATAACTACGGACGATGCTCCTTTTACTTTTTTCCCGCCCAGGAATGACCGATCAGGAATTTCTTTACATTAAAACACTTTGGGATTCTGTGTGATGAAAGGGACTGTTCCTTTCATGGGGGGG